TATAAGTAGATCCCCACGTCAGTCTATACTTAACAAGTCCGAAGTAAATATAGAACGAAGACGAAGGCAGTCGTTTGCTGGAATAGACCCAATCGCTCGTAGTGTAGGCTTAGTTGTACAGTTTTCGAGTCAAATAAAAATATCCATCTGCAAGCTGATTGAATGATAATATTTGTCCTTCTGGGCAGCAATTGTGCATGTATAGTTCTATCATCTTTCTATACATACTCACACATGCATTCAATATGCTATTTTGATCTTGCGCACAAGAGGATATGTACGTAGCTGAATTACAACCCTACCAGAGGCTAACCTCGGTGCTTTTCTCGTAATGTAAACCATTATTTCAAACTCTGGATGCCAACCGTTTTAAAAAGAAAATTTTACTGCACTCGAACGGGCCCTATTGTTGGGTTTTGTGGTCCAGGGTTTAAGTATGAGTCATAGTTTTCCTGCACACGCACAGAAAAAATAAATAAACAACCTTGTTTAATGTTCATAAGGCGATGACAACCATCATGAATAAAAACAGAGGATATGATGCTGACGCTTTTTCACACCCGACGTATGTCGATACATATACAGCAACAATACAACTCCACCCACATATATACGTGCAACCCTATGTAAATACATACAGACAAACACACCTACACCCTACATACACATACATTATCATTATACCATGACTCAAAGCATCCCTCTAGCCCCCGCCCTAGGCCTGGTAGCCGCGGGTATGGCCATTGCCACTGTATTGCGTAAGCTCTACGAGGCGGCTCAGGGTGTTGCTGAGAACATCTACGAAACAAACTCACTTGTCAATCAGTATCTGGTGTTTCACTATGGCAAGCCTTCGGAAGTGTGCAATCACGAGACGGGCCCTAAGGGTGCGCTGGACTTTCCTGTACGCGTTGCAGCAGAGTGTTGGAATGCCGAAGCAGGTAAGTAGGCAGATAGGTAGCACGCACGTTGTATGTGTGTACGTGTATCTGTGTTTTTACCTGTTTTTAGGGTGTATATGTGTGTATGTTTGTACGTGTATGTGCTTTTGTTCGAAACGTCATGCGGGATTTTACTCAGAGTACAACTCGCATTTTGGAATTATCTCTTGTGATTGTATATAAAAGTATTCTTCCGATATTTAAAACAGTTGCGAACAGGACGTCATTGCTACAATCCTATCCTGATACCATCTTCTCTTTGTTTAAAATTCAATCCCAGATTTTCTGTCTGGATTGAATATCACATCATATCTATAGAGCCATGCAGTATATTCACTAGTGAGCTGCCTGTAAAATTTGGTTTTGAGATCATGGAATACAATATATACACCTTTAATTAAGTTTCCTTACTTATATATATATATATATATACCTATCTATGTACATTAATATAGATTCAAGCTTATGAGTGCATAATTCACCCATCTATGCTTCACTTGCAGTTGAATTCTCACTATATATATTCGTTGGTATACTATTGAAAGGTACCGATAAATTGTACTCAAAACATAAGTAAAAGCATTTCACATCTTCAGGCATGTCATCTACGTTGCTCGTATTAACGATGTCGTTCTCGCACCATAGTACAATCCAGCGGACACAGCTAACAATATGTTTAAACTTACGTATGTGTCGAAGTATACACCAATGCTATTTAGGTCCTCAATACCTACAAGCGTTCCATTTGGAAAGTAGATATACTACAGAACGATAGAGCGTTTGTGTTTGTACGCGTCAACATGTTTTGGAGATAACTGGCTCGCGCTTAATCCACCGAGGGTAGGTGTTGCCTGAGGCTATGGTAGACACTTATACCACCAGTCCATGCAATTGTTTGCGTGCGTTAAACATTGTGTGGACCGAGAAAGTAGCATGTAGTTGTATTATATTGTATGGTGTGGATATCCTCATCTCGTAGACGAGATGTATAAACATGTGCTCTCATTCACGCTATACCAGGCAAGAGTAATTGCTCGCGTGCCCTGGACATTGGTTGCGCCGTGGGTCGTAGCAGTTTTGAGTTGGCTCGTCATTTCGAGGACGTTGTTGGCATTGACTTCTCGCAGCACTTCATCGATGTGGCTAACGATATCAAAGAACACGGTATGTCTTCCTTTGGTTGAGGAGTATCTATGTAAGTTATGTCTACCTTTAGTTTAGGAATATCCGTGTGTCTACGTTCAGTTTAAGATTGAAAAAAAACCCATGTAGGTTTACGTTTGGATTGAAATTGATCATGCCAGTCTACGTTTAGTTCAGAAGTATCCGTGTGTATGTGTACGATTAACTATGAGAAATCCACGCAAGTCTGCACCTAAATGTGTAACGTCGGTGTGAGTTTACGTTGAGTAGAGATATCATATAAGCCTACGTAATTTTGGAGATATACAAGCACCTCGCAAGCTTGTTTTGCGGTTACTTGTGCCTGACATATCCTATTGCTCCCAGCGCTGGCATCGGAGTCGCTACGAATACGTTAAATTCAGGGTGGGCGTTATTGTTGGGTTGAGAGGCAGGAACACCCCTCAAATGGGGAGAATTGCGTTTTTAATCGTATATTGTCTTCTTGTTACAGCTTGTATATATATATACATGTGTATAGCTTGTCGCATCCGTCACTATCTTCCTTCTGGCCGTTTTGTCTATAGCTGCTGTGGTATTTTGCGTATGTGTGGAGTTGCACACTCATGCGCACCGTTTGCTGAACTTTGCAAATGGGCACGGATATCACAAGCCATGTGTAACTATTTATGTTTATATATATATATATATATATATATATATGTATGTATGTATGTATATATATATATGTGTGTGTGTGTATGCATGCATATATGTATGTAT